TTTGAGAAGGCTTTTTTGGTCTTTTTTTATATACCTATTAAATGTGGTTTCTATATCTATATATATAAAAAGCCGGCGACCGGAACACTGTAACGACTGGAACAACCAGTCGCTATGACACCTACTGTGGCCAACGAATCCCCTGATCGGGGGGTGGGGCCAGCTGGCCAACCTCCCATGGCCCCTCTCCCCATCCATCCCCACCCCTGCTTGGACTCTCCCACCCCGATCAAGGGCACGGCAGCCGCAGCCCCTTACAGCCCCGGCTTTGTCAGGAAGGTTGTGCAGAAGGATGTCTGGTCTAATTAGCATATTGTGCTTTCATTATTATAGATTAGCACAGGGGAAATATCAAATTCTTTATAGAACAGACAAGGTGTGAAATTACATTTACAGATTCATAAAATCATCTTCATTCAGAGTAAAAGCAATCTGAGTAAACTAACATCATTTGTTATTAGTAAAATTAATCATTTCAAGATGTGGATCTTTAAAAGCCAAATATCTAGACACCCAAAGAAGCTTAATATAATGCTTTACCTCTAAAGAAAAGCTAACCAATAGGACAGCTTACCTGGGATATATTAATTTTCAAAACCTAATAACAAAATTGGATTCTTTTTTTAAAGAGCTGTCCTCTAAAGCATACTGTTGCACATGCCAGCACACAGAAGACTCCAAACGCATTATTTAGCATTGCTGCTCATTTTAAACCCAACATAACTAAGGCAAAATTCCCCAGGAAAATACGACTTTTGAAAAATTATTTTAATGAATAGAGCTTAAGGAGTATTGTCTTTCTGTAACTTGCCCTCAATATTGAAAGTATATAGTCCTTAGATTTAACTAGTGTTTTTACCATGTGAGAAGTTTGATTATAGAATATTTTGTTACAGTGCCTTTATTGACCTGGCTTGAATATATTGCATGCCATGGTATATCTGTTGAAAAACTGGCATCAGTGTGGTACTATATAGTGGGCTGAGAGATAGGTGTAAGCTTTTTTCCTCAAACACTGTCCTGTAGACACAGGTCAGGAAAGGCAAGAGGTAATACAACCTCCTGCTCAGAGTTAGTACATCAGATCCCTGGGTATGCCCCTCTCCCCACTCCCCACCCTCAGATGGTGATCCTGAGTCAGAGGTTAGTGCTGGCAAGACTGTGTCCCGGATATAGAAATCTTCTTTAACTTGGAGGCCTGGAGAAGCAGACTTAGTCTTTCTGAATCCTTCAATGAGGATGTGCCATCTTTCAAAGACAATTGAGATGATCACAAACTGAGGAAGGTCAGACTCACATCCCCTGTACCTTTTTGTTGGAACTTAGTTGGTGTCTGTGTCAAAGGAGAAGCCAGGTCACATGCACTTGATGTCTTTTCCTTTAAAACTAAGGCTATTGTAAAAACAGACTCTTTTACCCTGTGAATAAAATATACAGTAGTCCCCTTTAGCTCCAGTTTTGTTTTCTGTGGTTTCAGTATCTATTGTCAACCCTGATCCAAAAATATTAAATGCAAAATTGCAGAAATAAACAGTTCATAAGTTTTAAATTGTGTGCCATTCTGAGTAGTGTGATAAAATCTCATACTGTCTCCCTTTGTACCAACCAGGATGTGAATCACCCCTTTGTCTAGTGTCTCCACCCTGTATGCACTACCTGCCTGACAGTCACTTAGAGTTGGCTGGGTTATCAGATCGACTGTCTCTGTATTACAGGGTTTGTGTTCAAGTAACCCTTATTTTACTTAATAATGGCCCCACAGCACAGAAGTAGTGATGCTGGCAATTCAGATATGCCAAAGTGAAGCTGTAAGTGTGTGCATGTATAGGAAAAACAGCATATGTGGGATTTGGTACTATCAGGGGTTTTAGGTACCCACTGGGGGTCTTGGAACATATCACCTATGTTTAATGGGAGACTACTATGAACATAAGTCCACAGAGTTTGCATAATTTGGTTAGTATACTTTGTCCTTTTTTAAAATATTAAATCAAAAAATTATCAAATATTCACTTTTGTTTTATATTGAACATGTATGTTTTGCCAGCTGGTGGGGTTACGGCTTGAGTTATTACTTTAATTCTACTTTGAATGATAAAAAATTACTCAAGTAAAAAGTGTAAACATACCTTCTGGAAATGGTGCATTCAAACAATTGAAATACTGAGGGATTTTATACACTTCATAGCATAGTTCTGAGTGACTAGCACTTTATCTGTTTACTTGTCCTTTTAAAAACAAATCTGTTATTATGAGGGTTAGTGATTAGAGGAGTGCAAATCAGTGTTTAGTAATAACTTATTTTAAATTACTTTAAAGCGATGGGAAAATTTCCTACCAATTCCACTGTCTGCATACAAAAAGGGTAGCAGTAAAAATACAGTTACGGAAGCAGTCTGCTACCTGCCTTCACTGTCTCGTCTGCCTTGTTTGAATCCTAGGAAAAGTAGATGTTGATGTAAAATTTTATCTCCCATTGTCTGGCTGCATCTGCCACCACAGTCTTTGAATTGCTGGGCAGATGCCACAACTGTTGCTAAAAGAATAGAAGATTGACCTTGGGTTAAGATGGAATTCCTTTATTGTGCAGACACTGCAGTAGCCAGGGTACTTTCAATGCCTGGCGTCGGTTCTGCTGGCGCTGGTCATAGGCCTCTATTGTTCGTGTTCAATTGTATTCCTTGCTCACTGTTGCTTATTGAGATGGAAGAACAGGATTTGAGGGAAAGTGTTCCAGATGTTTCTAATCTATTTTAGAAATATAGGCATTTTTTAACCATATTGTTGGTGAACACTTGAATTTTTTTCTTTGTAGGAGTTAAAGAGGGTTGCCCTGCCTCCATGGAGCCTTCTTCAACAATTGAACTCCCAGATTATTTGATGTAAGTTCAGATGTCTGCCATTGGGAGAGAACTGTTTAATTTTAGAAAGTTTGCAAATTCTTTTCCCATAATTTGCAAATCAGAAAAGTAACACGTTCCAGAAATAGTGTCCTGGAGCCACCCCTGCAATTGAAAGGCTGCCATTAAGCCTGCTTGTCCCAAATCCACCCAGTCGGTTTCAGCAGGTTGTGCCTCCCCCTGCTCAGAGCTCTGCTCGGGGGCCTTAAGTATAGAGAAGCCTGTCCTTTGTTCCGGGGCCAGGCCAAGCTTTTGATTATGGAAGATTTTAGGGATCGGACTCTTCAAAGCTGACAGTCTATCAATGCACAGACCTTCTCTGCATATGTTACTGGTAAAGTGCTTAAACCTCTGCAGTTAACACAAAGTAGAGATAGATTGATTTTGTTTAAACAAAGCTATGCCATCAAATTAATTTTAAGAGGAGAGAATAGTAAAATTTGATCATCTCACTTTACTACAGGTTATAATGTCTTTCTTGTGGCAACAAGTTGCTAAACGCTGAGCTGGGGACATTTTTGTAACTGGCTATCACAGAAATTATAACTTGGACACATAATTCCAGCTTTTTTACAGACTCAGAGGCTTCATAAGAAGAAAATAATTAAGTTGCAAGAGCCTGGAAAAATGGAGAGTGAAAGGGCAAACAGGTCTAGCTGTCAATAGCTTAAAAAATGAACAAATGTGCAAAATAGCTTTAATCTAGAATAGAAACTGGAATTTGGGCTGTATGAACAGTTTCTCTCAATTTAGTACCATCTCATGATGAACAAAGTTGAATTATGCCATTTAGCCCTCAATGTCCAATGAAATGTTCATTTTCAGAGTAGAGAACATTTTATATTTAAAATGTGATACTTTTGCTTAACAGTAGTGTGAAAGCTATTGTTATTGGCGAATGATACAGCAGGAAACCATAAGACTGGTTATCATCTCTTCTTATGTAAAAAGAAGCGATATTTAGTACTCTCTCATCTGAAGCAGTTTATGGTTTTGGATTCTGTGCAGGAGCTTTGAAAAGCAGGCACCACTGAGTTGGCCCAGGAAGGGTCGGTTAGGGGACAGCACCTGTCTCCACCGATGATAGGGGGTTCATTTCTCCAGCTCAAACCCATTTCTCCTTAAGAGTGCTGTGAAAGTTGACACCTCCCTCAAATAATAACTGCATTACTGTGCTCTCATTCTCTCATGATGGATTTTGAACTCCTCTTTTTTGCCCTAGTGTAACTGAAAAATAATTCTGACCTTCTCCCCATGGAGTAAGGCTGTGTTTTTTCAACCTAATCAGTTAATGCTATATTTAAAAAAAAATTTAACTTACTGATGTATCTGCCTCATCAGTGCATTTCTGTACACTTATCATGTTTTTAGCTCTTTAAAAATTACAAAAATATATAACCTATGTGATTGCTTGCTTTATTTAAGTAAAAGCAATTTATTTTAACAAAAAATAAGTCTTGTGTATATACAAAAAATATTCTGAAAATGGTGAGAAAGCATGAATTTTCAGAAAAATTATCAAAAATAAACTTAACTTGCTTTCATAAGAAATCGAAAGATCATACTATAAAACCTTAATGGTCAACTTCTGAATAATGCATACTTAATTACAGTATTCCTGATTTTTATATAATAAAAATACTTCTGCTACTTCTGGATGTAAACTGTCCAAACTGTTTAAAATTTTATTCCATTCTTGCATTAAGAACCAACAGTAGAACTCATACTTTTCGATAAAAATAGTAAAATGCTTTTTGTTAAAATGCCAGTATAATCAAATAATCTTCTATAATAGCAACACAACTGTTGGTCAGTTTGTAATTTTCCCAAGGAATTTATTAAATGAAATATTGAGAGTTTTGAGAAAGAGGGATGAGTATTTTGCTAACAGATTGAACCTGAATTCCACAATCTGTTTAGCCATCTCCTCACATATGCTGTCCCGGGAACTGTCTCCTTAGTGAGCTCCCTCTGCAGTGCGGTGAGGACATCCCCGTCTGGAAAGGATTGCTTCCTTGCTGAGCTGGCAGTGTTCCTTTTACAGCACAGACACCAGCGGGGCAGCTTTAAAACAGCATACTACCGTAGTCTCCATTACACTTAGAAATTAAACCTCCACCCTAACTCAGCATGAATAAAAATATTAATGAGGACATTAAGGTTGCTCACTGCATTACTTTTCTCACATTTCCAACTAGGTATCTGTGCTATTACATTTTTTTAAAAATATATTTATTGATTTTTTTTACAGAGAGGAAGGGAGAGAGATAGTCAGAAACATCGATGAGAGAGAGACATCGATCAGCTGCCTCCTGCACATCTCCCACTGGGGATGTGCCCGCAACCCAGGCACATGCCCTTGACCGGAATCGAACCCGGGACCCCTCAGTCCGCAGGCTGACGCTCTATCCACTGAGCCAAACCGGCCTCGGCCTGTGCTGTTACATTTTAAATATAACTGGAAAGTTATCTGAAACCATTTTGGAGAGGATTGAACTCCAAGGTTTTCCCACAGTGAAGAATATTATGTACCCCCTGGGGCTACCTGTTTGAAATTGCTTTGAAATCTCAATTTTTATCTCAATAAAGTCAAGGGATTTTTGCATTCCATGACAGAAGCACAGAGTGCAAAGACCCTGATGTGATCCCAGTCCCTGGATCCACAAACAAATAATATGAATATTAAAATGCTGGTTTAATTTACTTACCACTGAGTAAACTGACACTCTGTGAATATAGCCTTCATTAACTAGGTCCCTAGAAGTGTTCATACCCCAAAGTAAAACAGCTTTATGGCATTTTTATTAAGAAAGTAAATTAAACTAATAGTACAACACGGCCTTTCTGTTACACAGGTTATACTGTGTCATTTTTTTAAATGACAATTTCCCTTTTGTATTTTAAATATTTGCCTAATCAGAAAGGGAGAAAGGGGAGGAAGCCTGAGGCACCTTGGTGGCAGCAGGTGTGAAAGGCCTAAAGACAGATCCCCTCATAATCCCCTCGTCTTTTTATACTAATTTTCCTTCACTGAAGCTCTTCCATGGGAGACTTTCACCTGGAAGGTCTTGGAAGGAGTGACATGGCTATCTTTGATCCTGTTTTCCTTATTAGAAAATATATTGCTATCGTCTCCTATGAACAACGCCAGAATTACAAGGCTGACTTCAACGCAGAGTATGATGAATACAGGGCCTTGCATGCCAGAATGGAGACTGTAGCTAGAAGATTTATCAAACTGGATGCACAACGAAAGCGCCTTTCTCCAGGCTCAAAAGAGTATCAGGTAAATGCATTTGTTCATAGACGACTTACTGTCATGTTTCACTTTTTTCTCTGCCTGGCCCCCCCCGGGCCCCCAGGCATCCTGTTAGCCTTCAGAGTAGGTCTTCCTGCTGACCAGCCTCTCTGCAGCTTTCAGCTTCTATTCAGAATTAGCTGGTATCTAAATATTTGAAGTAGTGCTTCAACCTGTATTTCTGTCCGTGGAAAAAATAACCTTCTATTTAACATAGTATGTGTAAAATATGTAATATATGCTTAATACATTTACTATACTATGTGTAGTGTATTGGGAAGAATACCAAACACAAATAAACAGGAAAACAAGTTGGATTTTGGATTCATCAAAACATTTTTATTGCGTTGTCAACTCAACTCAGGCTACAGCTCCAGATCTGGTACTGTTCCCCAAAACTCCAATTCCAAGTCAATACTTTAAGTAATTTTTAAATAACCTCAGTCTGGCATAGAATATGGAAGATGTAGACATGAAATATAACAAGGGCTTAATACCACAGAAGTTTGGGGTTTAAGTGAAGAAAAACATGGTGCTTACAGCTGTTCCAGAGACAGACATTTGTTAGCAGGTAGTGATCAGTTTCACTTTCCTACTTTAAGTGGTTATAATATTACTACAGCTCAAAGAGCAACAGAAGCCTGACCTGACTATTCTCATGGGTCTTAGCAAAAGGGTTAATGTTATAAAGGAGTGTTTCCTTGCTTGCATAGACCGGATAATTTGGTCGCACTTCACAGGCATAGATGGTGCCGCCATCCCGGCCCACTGCCATTGTTCTGACAGGAACCCAGCGAGAGAATGGATGAGTTTTCCCACAGGGGAGGGCCTGTGCCCTAGATCTCCATTATGACTTCTATTAGGAGGCCTTAGTCTCTTAAACAAGCCACCTAGAATTATATATTTTTCCAGAGGAGTCGGTGTTTGAGGATGCGAGAAGACGGTGATATGGTGGTTTCGGGTTTGTAGTTTTCTATGTAGTTATTGACCAGTGTAACATGATTGTATTCCAAGGATTGTTCGGTGGTTAGAAGTAGCTCCAGAACCAGAATGCTGGGTTTGGTTCCAAGATCCTACCATTTAAGACTTGTGTGACCTTGGGCAAGTTACTTAACTTACCTCAAAATCCCCATCCATAGAATGAGGTGACCATAGATTTGTGCAGAATAAATGTAAGCATTTGGAACCTGCTTAGATCCATCGTACATCAGGTTATATGATACTTAAGGGTTAGCCATTTTCCCCAGCCACCCAGTTTTCCTCCCTAGAGATAATCAGTAGTGCTGGTTTCCAGTGTATTCTTTAAGAGTCGCGCACGTGCGGGTGTGCATGCATGTGTGTAAGAGGTATATACACAAGCAAATTCACATATATACCATACATAACTAAATCTAAGAGGTGTAATGACAAGATGCACTTTTGTGTTATGTTCAAGTAGTTAAACTATGATACATCTTCACCTGATTTCATTGAGAAGAAATATGCATCTTAGAATTAATGAAATTCTTAGAATATATATTCTGTTTCCTTCTTTTAAACAAATGATGTCATTGTATAAATTGTTCTGCACTTTGCTTTTTTAACTGAACAATACAAATGCATCTTAGAGAATTTTTAAATATAAGTACATAAACACTCCTCCCTTGTTTAATGCTCTCCTTAGTATTCCTTTGCATGGATTAATGGACACTTAGATATTGTTTACTACCTTTTGTTTTACAAGCAGTGCTGCAGCAAGTGACCTTCCACACACATCACTTCACTCAGACACCAGTAAATCAGAAAGGAAGTCTAAGTGCCAAGCCAGTTTTGCATTTGCTATATTGATAACAGTTGCCAAATTACCTTCCTTAGTAATTGTACTGATTTACATTACCATCATCGATATTTCCCCACACCCTTTCAAATGTGTGTTAACTATATATATTGAAAACAAAAAAAGTTCTCTTCTGATTTCTAATTTTTAATTTTGTAGAATGTTCATGAAGAAGTCTTACAAGAATATCAGAAGATCAAGCAGGTGCGTATCATTACTGTTGGTTTTCTGACATGGAGTTGGGAAGTAATTACAAATTATGTAACCTGATTCCTCCTGTTCTTTTCCATCTACAGTCTAGTCCCAATTACCATGAAGAAAAATACAGATGCGAGTATCTTCATAACAAGCTGGCTCATATCAAAAGACTGATAGGTGAATTTGACCAACAGCAAGCAGAGGCATGGCACTAGCTCTGCTTGGACAGAAGATGTGAATAAACTTAAGCTTATTTATTTAAAATTCCAAATGAGTTGCTCTAAGATTCTAAAAAAGGAAACTTTGCCTGTTGAAAGTTTCAGTATTTGTAAACTTGAGTTAACTATTTTTTTTCTTTCTGTCCCCCTCCCACAACCCCTAATTTCTTTGCCTCCCTGCAATTTTGAAGCTGCTTTTTCTGGTCCTTCCCCTCCTCTCCTGCCCCCCTGTCAAGACTTGTGTTTGTCAATAGAAGTAAATTTTTTTAGATATTGGGGATCCAGTATCTATACTTTAAATCAGTTTTTTGTTCTTATAAACTTGTTTGTAATTAGCAATGATTTTTTTAGATATTGGGGATCCAGTGTCCACACTTCAAAGTTATGTGTGTTAAAAAACAAACCAGTAATGTGCAAGGTGAAATGCGTTTGGATAAACATAAGCCTATTTTCTGACCTTTCTTAATGCAAACTCTTTGCCTTAAATGGTAGAAAATTTAGAAATTTGCACAAAATACAAAAAAAATTAAAACATTGTATTGGAGGGTTAAGAAATAAAAAGGTCTACGAGTATGTAATATGTGTGTAGCTACACATACACATATATATATACAGGCTAACTTAATCTAGAACAGTAAAGTGCCCTGCAAGTTAACCCCCCATTGCAATGGTTGCCTTAAGGTGTTTGCTAGTTATGTACATAGTGTGGTTAATCATTAGCTACACTGCTTCCCACCTGATTGGAGCAACGGGAAGCACACTGTGGCCTACCAGCGTCTGAACGTGTGCGCGACCTGTGTGTGTGCAGAGGTGGTGTGGATGTGAGCGTGCATGAAGGAAAAAAAGCTGCTACTCTTAGTAGGCCAAACGCTCAGGTTAAACAACTGACGAGTGTTACTGTAGGTTTTTGTTTTTGTTTTTGTTTTGTCCAATTGCTACTTCTATTGTGAAAGACAAAAGCATTTCCATTTCAACTGTTTGTCAGCTTTGTCGTTGGGCAAAATTGGTATGTTATGAAAATGAAACAAATCTATAGTTTTGGGGCAAAATTATAAAATTAAATATGTAGGTAAACTATTTATATACTGCTATAAAGTATTTTTTGAGGAGAGATGTGCAAAGAAGTTATTACCTACATGAAATGTATATTTAAAGATTTTTTTCTTCATCCTGGGTGCCAGGAATATAAAAAAGAGTGGATATATTTAACAATAGCATACTGTGATTCATCAAACAGCACAAACTTTCAGTTCATGGAGTTTATCTGTTGACATTGATTTAAACTATCACTTGTTTTATCATGTGGGAACATAAGTTATGTCAAAATGTAAGGATTTTGAACTAATGTTGATTCAAGTTGTGTTGTCTTACCGTATTGTCTTTTCAAAGTGCTGCCAGTTAAAAAGGGAAGCATTATGTTTACAAATCTGTTTTGAAATGTTTGCCAAATTTTGGTAGTATCTTTAATAAAGATGTTTGTCTCCAGCATCCAAAAAATAAATAACTCTGTTGTGTATCACTGTAAACCAGGAAAATGTTATTATCTAGAAAACCTGAGAGAGCATGTAGATGAACTTTCTCTTTGGAGTTCTTAGATAATGTAGAAGTACACAAACTATACCAAGACTAAAACAAGACCCTCTACACTACAACTCTATAACATTATTGTAGAAATTTAATTTCTATGTAGCATGAACCTCCTAGGGAATTCAATTTCTTTTAGCGTTGAGATCCCTGGTGCTCTTCTTTTTTCCTCAGAATTGGTACAATCATTAGTAAATGTTAATTGATTTCAAACTTTCAATTGCAAAAAAAGATAGGAAACTTAATTGGGGGTAAATTTGGTCCTCATATTATTATGGTGGAGTCTGCTGAGAGATTTGTCTGTAGATAATGACCTCATTGCTGTTTAATCAAAGATTGTGTGCTGCTGTTTGCTATGAGTGGTGTTTCTCAAAAGCAAGGTGTTTGGACCACTTACATCACCCAAATTAGAATCTCTGGGTATAGGGCCCAGGTAGTCATCCACATTTTCCTAGTATCCTCCAGGTGACCTGCAAGCTAAAGTATGAGAACCATTGGCTTGGATGTAGTGCTAAACCTTAGGTCTCTAAATCTCAAAGTCTTGAAATGAAGTTCAACTGTTGGCTTTTTTTTTTTTTTTAAACCACCTCTATCAGCGGGCACACATCACTTTTTCCTCAAGAGGAGAGGCACCTTCTCAATTGTTTCACTGCCAACTCTTATTTCAGAACTTGTTTACAGACAAGTCTTCTAGTTAGGTAATTGTTAGCCCTTAGAGTTCCTACCCACCCACATCTGCACATCTTCTGGTTTACAAATTGGGTAATAGAAGCTGGAGATGCTTTACAAAAATCCAGCACTGCATACCCATAGACTTGACCACAAACCTATAAAAGCCTTAATTTAGACGTTTATTGTGTACCATGGGCAGATCCTTATAAAATGTGTATCAGTTATAAATCTCTGACTCTGCTGCTACCTAAGGCTGCATCTCTTTTGAAGGCAGGCATAAGCCTATTAAAATATATCATTTTTCATGTCCTACTGTTAGATTTTTAGATACTTTCAAGTCATTGCTGCAGGAGTGTGTGATCACTTAGTTACTTTGGTCGAAGAATCTATTCAGTTTTTTTGAAAGACAGTGTAAAAGAGCATTGTCAAGATGAGAGAGGGAGTTATGTTTTCATCACATTTCATCTAAAATAATTTGAAGCATTCTTGAAGATTTTTACCAACACTCATAAATTGATTCTAAATTGATGAGCAGCTAATTTAATATAACCCAAAAAGAACATTAATTAGATGTGGTTTTGTTTTTTTATGTGGGGATTTCATTTCCTATCTTCTTGGTTTTATTTCTCAAGGAGTAACTTAAAGAGTTAAACTTTAACCTCTAGTGGTAGATGTTAGGACTGGCTCTCTCACTGGTGTGGTCAGTTTCTATCATTGCTCCACTCACTGATTCCAAAAATTCAGTACTTTCATTCATCTCTGATGGATCTTTTAACTGTTAGAGGAGTTTTCTTTTCCCTTAAAGTATTTCACTTTATTACGAAAATAAATGCATACTTGCATGTTGGAAGCAAGTTGTTGAAATGAGGTTTAGCCACAAATGGTCCATTAGTTCCAACACTGCTTGGTTGCCGTACCTCTTGCATTACTTTGTTCTTTGCTTCTGGAACTTGCCTGAAACGCTTTAGCCAGTTCATTGTCTTTCTGGCAGGGTGAGTATTATCATGTGTGCTTCGTATATGCCTTTACTACTTCTGAAGTTCTTACAGTTTATTACTTCCCCAAGTGTTACTAAAGCCTTTTATTACTGTACCAGATTGGGGGAAATTTATAACCAGCACTTTTGAGAGGAACATGTTGGGAAAGGATATTTAATGGACACTATTAAATGGAGGCAACAGGAGATATTATCCATTTTCTTTGTAACCTAAAAACCTGAACAAGGCTGTGAGGCTCGTTTCAAAACATTTTGAAGTGTTAAAAATTTATACACACACACACACACACACACACACACACACACACACACACACACACACACATACTGTTTCTCAGTTCCATCCAAACCATGTTAGGACTCTCGAAGGTAAAATGTCACAGGGACTTTTCAGTTGTTACTGAGCTCAGCAGCTGTAGTGGCCCCTGTTCTACACCAATTTCAGTTCAATAAAAATATTAACATTGCACTGCTGGTATCTGTTTTGCCTTTGTCTCATTTCAAGCCCTTAATCCTTAACTTTGTCTTAAAAAACAACAAAAAATGCCCCACATCAAAGTGCTCTCTGATGTCCTAATGTAAATGATCTTCCTAGGACAGATATTATTTATTGGTGACTCTAAAAGTCGGAGCAGGGTGTCTGTCTGCTCCGGGACCCTGCCTGTTTATAATTTTAGGACATACCCTCCACAGGCAACATCTAGGGGAACAGTAATCATAGTTAGCATTTGTTGAGGGTTTCCCTGTGGGATACATACCCTTTTGCATCCATGGTCCCATTTCTCCTCACCACAGCCCTGTTATACCCATTTTGTTGGTGAGTAAACTAAGGTTTAGAGAAGTTAAGAAACTTGCCCATCACCCAGCTAGTAAGCAGTGGAGCCTAAGAAACCTGATCTCCAGGTCTGTGTTCTTAACCACTTCTCCACGATATCCCTCATATGTTGGTACCAGTTTAGGGTTAGAGTAATCTTCACAAAGTGATCATTCTAATAACATCGGAAGGGCTAGAAAAATGTTTTGATTCAAAGGAGTCTAGAACGTGAGTATGATGTCTACTGGATTATTCTCAGCAGGTTGATTTTATCAGAATTGATAAATTTGAAGGAAGGCCAAATACTTTTTAAGAAAAGATATGTCAATTTTCTTCATGACTGTGTATAGTCTTAACAAGGCTACTAGTATTTGAAGGAGACTGAGGCAGTGAAGGCAGTCAGGAGGCAGGGGTATGGCCTTGGAATCACACCATTTTCTTTTCATATTAAAAGGCTGTCTCCCTAACAACAGACTAGCTCTAGGATCCCCGTCTGAATTAGTCATAAGGACGTTCTCCTGTTTCTATAAGATTTCTGCAGGAACAATGGAAGATGAAAGGAAGAAAGTCTCAATTAAGCATTGATGTTAAAAACCTAGAATGTTTAGTGCCAGCAGTGATTCTGGTTAGGTTTACAAGGAGCCTCACAGATTAATGAGATTCCTAATGTAATTGTGGCAGCAGCCCTCCCCCACCAGACATTTAACATGTGCTTGTCTTTTAATTCCTTTCCTCGGCTGTAAAGTGGAAATACGCCTTCTTACTGGGTATGAAAGAAGTTTAATTACTGTTTATAAAGCACTTGGGTGTTCCATGAAAAACAGCTATCTAAATTATACATTGTCTGCTGAATGCATTGGGAGACTTGGGAGCATTATTTTCCAGGTGACAATGGGTCCATTTTGAATGATGGCAAAGAGGACAAAGGCAGAGAGAAGAGAGAGGCTGAGGGTTCTAGGTGAGTGCCTGGGGTTTGTTTTATTGAATGCCGGGCTCTCACGTACCTGCTCCACTGGTTTTACCTTCCTGACACGGACAGGAGGCTAGCAGTGGCAAGAGATGGCTCTGATATTTTATGATTGCTTAATTGTCATGTTGGGGTCAGATGATTCTGCTGTGTGTGACTGGAGATGCGTCATTCACAACTCCTGCCTGCTTAATTCAACCGGCCAGCCAGGCTGGTTTGCCTGACTGTAATTAGATACTTGGTACAATGTGGGCATTTGTAGATGGACGATAAAAATCCCATATCTGGGTCTGTGAAATGTAGGAGAATGCCTCCTAAAGGTGAGCTCCCAGAATTAGACACCAAGCCTGAGTTCTAAAGCTGGGGCTTGTAGGGGAATGGCTGGCTGCCTTTCTATACTCAGGGTCCCAGTGGGCTTACAGAATTCTAGACAGGCAGTGGGAGCCAATTTGCCAGTCTCGTCTCCTGCTACACTCACTCTGTGCCACCAGTCGCACAGGCCTGCCCACAGGCTTTCCTATCCCAGGCCCTTACTGTCAGTTGCTGTCCCTTCGGCACCACCAGCCTTACCTTCCAGCCCTTCCTCACTTAGCTCATCCCTCCTTACCCTGAAGATCTCTGTTTAAACATCACTTCTTTCCAGGAAGCCTCCCCTGACCCCTCAGACAAACTCAGGTCGCCATGGTATATGGTCTCATTTTATGCTTCTCCTTTAGGGCATTTATGACAATTATAACTAAATGCTAATTGTATTATTACTAATTAAATAAGTGTCATGGCAGTAGAGACTGCCTTGCTCACTAGGGTATCCCCAGCTCCTGGCCTAGTGCCTGGCATACAGAAGGTACTCAGTAATAATGGATTGAAAGAATGACTAAATCAGGCTATTTATATATGTCACACAAAGTTAACGTTGCAGAGGACTTGGACCACTGCGAGAGTCTGCTGTGTCATTCACTGTGCCCTGCCACTTCTCGCCCCGAAGTCCTGACTGAGGAAAGGCTCACCGACCTGACTTCGAGAATCCCTTTGCCATGATTAACTAACTGGACACCTTCAATGGTACATGTCTTTCCAACATTGGATTCACCCCTCCAGTCACCTCTGGATTATGAGCTTCTGCATCAGTCTATCATGGTTTGGAATGTAAAATGAAATGGTTTAAAAAGTTACTTTTATTATAACTGACATATTCTGACTCATTTCCTAATTACTTTTTTTAATAGTTTTTCTCTCACTTCTCAACAATGTGGGAGAGGACAGCCATCTTAAGATAGTGTTGCATCTCATTTTTCCATCTTTGTGAAAGCATGCCCAGCCTGATGTTTCTTTAAAGTCAACATGTGCTTTTATTGAAACTTACTTTATGCCCAACACTTCTGGAACCACCTAGGCAGTATGCATATAAAGGATTATCCAAGGGTTTGGGGATTCCTGTAATGACAGAGCTAACAGAGCCCGTCAACAGTATTAGGCACCACTGCCTTCCCTT